GGGGCCTTAGGGAGAAATTTTGACCTAGAATCTCACTTCAAGAAACCCAACCCGTCCACCCGTCCTCCTCCCCCTGCATTTTATAGACCTTCGACTGCAGCGGGGACCTCTTCCCACCCCAGCCTCATATCCCTCCTAAGGATCCTCCATTAATCAGCCCACATTTCCGTCCCGTCCCCCCCACCACCCGAAGCTATTCCAGGGGCTCTCCTCCGCACCATTTGACCAGGCGGTCCCGAGTCTCCCGGCTTTCCAGGGATGGAAAGCTTTTTTGGGGGAGGTGGTGGAAAGTGTATCGTGGCCGAGATTCGTCGTCCCCACAGGCAGACATCGCCGCTACTCGAGGACAAGACGCTCCGCGGGTCACCATGGAAACGCGCTCGCTTTCAGCCAGGGCTGTATGGCGCCCTGCGTTTTCTGTCCCCCGAAGAACCCGAGCCTATAACAATGGTTCCGTTTCTTTTTTCATACAACAAAGATTGGTCTCATCCAGCTGGTGGTGGTATATTTTCCATCGAATATGACGGGAAAGGAGCGTGATCCGAAGTGGGGAATGAGCACTTGGCTATTATTATTATTATTATTATTATTATTATTATTATTATTATTATTATTATTATTATTATTATTATTATTATTATTATTATTATTATTATTATTATTATTATTATTATTATTATTATTATTATTATTATTATTATTATTATTATTATTATTATTATTATTATTATTATGCTTCACGACTTTCTGCATACATCATAAACTCGTGTCCAGAATGGAGCTCGGGTCCCATAGAATATCAGTCAGATTCAGGTGTGTAGCCGTGTTGGTCTGAAGCAACAGAACAAAGTTTTGAGTCCAGCGGCACCTTTAATATCAATAAGTTTAATTCTGGGTATAAGCTTTCGTGCATGCATATGGAAGTTTATACCCAGAATTAAACTTGTTGATCTTAAAGGTGCCATTGGATTCAAACTTTATACTGTCACCAAAGGTGTGTGCCCTTAACGCCCTCCTCTTTTAACAACGGGGCTCGTCTCTCTTGTTCAGAACCTGTTCAGCCTCACGAGTTAGAAAGAGGCAACGACCTTTCCTTTCCCCCTTTTGGATGTATTGTGCAGATCGTGGCGTTATTTAGCTGACACATATTTGAGTCAGCAGTTATTCTGTCCTTGCGGCGTATTCGCCTCTCCCGGTTGCGAAGGAAGGAAAACATTTTCACAGGATGGATTTGATCAGAAGGCGTGACTCACGCGAAGGAAATAAGCAAAGGAGCAGGCACCAATGAGCACTTTTGCCCAACAATCCTAGGCAGAGAGCCAGTTTGGTGTAGTGGTTAAGTGCAGGGACTCTAATCTGGGAGAACCGGGTTTGATTTCCCCACTTGCACCTGGCTGGATGACCTTGGGCAAGCCCTAGTTCTGGTACAGCTGTTCTTGAAAAAGAGCAGTTTCTGTCAGAGCTCTTTCAGCCCCACCTACCTCACAGGGTGTCTGTTGTGGGGAGGGAAAGGGAAAGGAGTTTGTAAGCCGCTCTGAGACTCCCTTGAGTAGTGAAGGGCGGGGTATAAATCCAATCTCTTCTCCTCTTCTTCTTCTATTTCAGACTGGACAGAGTAACCACACAGTGAAAGTCCTAAACTAATGGCACATTTACCCAGAAGCTCTGCTGCAAAAGAGATGGGATTGGGCTGCATAAAGCTCAACACAAAGTCAATTCAGAACAAACTGATCAGAGCTGGATTTTAGCTTGTCTTACTTGCTTTCAATAAGCACCTTCTTCAGTGGCACTATCACAGATGAGTCATCCTCTATCCATGGGATCCCTTTGCCCCCTGTGACTAGGGTTGCCAGATCCTCCCTAGCCACTGCAGGGCAAAGGGTGGTGGGGTTGCCAGATGCAGGTTGGGAAACTCCTAGAGATTTGGGGATCCGTCTCCATTAGAAGTTTAGTAGCATTTTTGAGCCTGAATACTTATTGAGATCAGCGTCCTATCTGAATGTATTATCTTTCATGACTTTTTGTAAAGCACTTTATGAGCAAGAGAGGTTTTGTACTACTCTAATATTTCCTGAGGAAGATCCAATTTTGAAACGTTGTTCTATAATCCGGAGACAACTGTTGATTATGTATTTTTACACTAGGATTTTCTTATGATTTGAAGGAATTTGTTTATTGCCCCGTGATATCTGGCCTGTGTGACCGGGGCCAGAAATCATCTTCTTTGCAAGTCTTGTTGACTGCTTGATTTGTGGGTCAGACTCTCACCACTGTTTTCCTTATGTTTGTTCTCTAAGTAATAGTCACACATGAGTTGTGAGTTCTCTTCAGTTCTTGTACACACCATGCCCAGTTTGGATCGTGACTTTGGCACTGCTGGATAATTGGCTAGAACTCCCGCCACACGCACCATTTTTCTGACCTGAAATGGTGTGTGTGGGGGGGGTGCTATGTGGTCTGCTGGAGAAGCCCACAAGCATGCTCGTCAGTTTTGTCTGCTCAGGTTGCAGTGTGTCTCCAGGGTCTCAAGCAGAGGTCTTTCACATCATTCACTACCTGCTCCCTTTAACTGGAGATGAACCTGGGACTTCCTGCGTGCCACGCAGGGGCTCTGCACCTGAGCCAGGGATTGGGTGAAGAGAAGGCGACTGGACAAGGAGAAGAGGGAGGAAAATGCAGAGTAAGAGAGGAGGAAGCAGGGGCCAGCTGGGGAAGTGGGACTTCTCCCCTGTGAATCCTTACAGGCCCCCTTCTTGCCAGTACACTGGGGCAGTAGGTCCTGAAAACAAAGTTTAAGAGAGCAAATAGTAGAACCTCCAAGATAGTCATCAGGTGTCAGAGATACACCTGCTCAGCCTGTTGCAAGAGCTTCCAGTTCAACCACTGAGTACGGAAGACGGTGAGGGTGTGTTCACTTCTCCAACTGGTCGTTCCAGATCTTTAAGTGAGGAAAGGGGAGGAAGGGCACATGCAGGGTGTTGGCAGGAGGAGCAGTTGCGTCCACACCTTTTGTTGTAAGACTTTGCACAATCCCTCGGACAGGATTCCGGGAAACCCCCTCTCCTAATCGATAATATCAAAATACCCTTGTGTTATTTCTGCTGAACTGTATATGAACCACCTATCCATATACCTCACCAAACATCTGGAAGGCAGCTGTTTTTGGACACATCCTTACTGAGCCAGCCACATACAGAGACATCCTTCATCTCTTTTGCCTCAGAAGTAGCCAAACTGTAATCCTTTCACGAGCCTCCTCACTGACCATGTTGTCCCCCCAATAATGCTGGGTGGTGTCTATAGGTGGGAATGCCACTGCTGTGCTGCCAGGACTACCACTGTTGTACACCACCAACCCATATTTTCCCTGGCAACATGTGCTTGGGGGGCTATATAACAGTGGACACTGCTAGAACCCCAGGATCATGGCCCTACCTTCCGGCTATGCTGATGTTGGCCCTGCCCTGGTCTTCAGAACATCCCTGTAAAAAGGGCAGATGGCAGGGAAGATTGCCAATCTCCAGGCGGGGGCTGGAGACCTCCTGGAATTAGAACATACTACAGAAATCAGTTGACCTGGAGGAAATGGCTGCTTTGAAGGGAGGATTGTGTGGCATTATACCTTGCTACGGCCCCTTCTTCCTCAGACCGTGCCCTCCCCAGGGTCCACCCCCAGATCTCCAGAAATTTTCCAACCTGGAGATGGCAGCCTTACACGGCAGGAGGAAAGTCTAGGGTTGCTAGGTCCCCCCTGGCCACCGGCAGGGGATGTGGGGGTTAGGGTTGCAAGATCCAGGTCGGAAAGCTCCTGGAGATTTGAAGATGGAGTCTGGGGAGGACAGGGACCTCAGTGGGGTATAATGCCATAAAGTCCACCCTTCAAAGCATCAGTTTTCTCCAGGGGAACGGACGTGTGTCGTCTGGAGATGAGCTGTAATTCCTGGGGATCCCCAGGTCCCACCTGGAGGCTGGCATTGGAAACAAAATCCTAAAGCGGTTTAACACCTTCTGTTGGAACACTGGGAATGGGCTTTGAGAAAGAAGGGAGTGCTGAGGAGAAGCTGAACTGCTTCCTGGAATGGTGTTGTGAATGGTGGTTGTCGTATGACCAGAGAGGAGTTGGTAGGCTGCACTTGCCCATGCCTCATTCTGAGGTGTAGCTTCCATTCCCTCAGCCGGTCCCATGTAGGCCTTCTGCAGTACTTCTTTTGCAGAAAGCTAATGGCTAACACAGTGGAGTAGTCCCCCTGCCGCTCATGTGGAGTGATGAATAATCCATTTGGGCTGAATTACCTGGACTCAAGGAGCTTGTTCTTACTGCCTCGAAGCCCAAGGAGTGCTCTGTTTTGTGTTTACAAATATAACTTTTATTGCCAAGTCTTCTTTTCTTTGTCTGTCATTTACACTGGTTCAAAGAAAGTTTATGATGCGCTATAAAATGCAGCTGCGGTGGCTCAAGTGGTTAAGACGCTGAACTGCAGGCTGTGGAAGGTCAGTAGTTCAGCAGTTCGAGACCCAAGTGTGCCGCATGACGGAGTGAGCTCCCATCTCTAGTTCCAGCTCCTGCCAACCTAGCAGTTCACGACTGACTTTCGAGCAAGGGAACCTTTACCTTTACCTCTTATAAAATGCAGTGCCCAAATGTCATCCTTGGCTCAGTCCAGGAAGTATTTTCAGTAGCGTGGGTCCTCTGAAGTGCCCACTGCGGTTAGCACCAAAACAAAGTGCAGAGGCTCAGAGGTATCTTCTTTCCAGAGCGTTTTGCTAAAAGCTATAGTCAGACTAGAGGAAACACTGGGTTGCCAGCTCCGGGTTGAGAAATACCTGGAGAGTTACAATGTAACACATAAAGTTCCCAAACTGTCAAAATGCAACTATCATGAACTATAAATCAAGGTTACAATGTCACACTACTAGTTCCGAAATTCTCAATATGACAAATTTATATAACAAATCAGCAACTGGAAGTTATGTGACGACATGTGTCCTAGTAGGCATATAAACATGTTTCTATCCTCTTTGTCAAAGCTGCACCTCCCTTCCGTTGTAGAGCTCAAAATTCAAGTCAGAACCAATGCTCTAAGAAATCTCTTTCAACCAGTAGCCTCCCAGTATGCTGCACTGAAGCGCTTGATAGCCGGGAGGCTACTGGTTGAAAGAGATTTAGAGCATTCTGCCCTGGGGTAGTGTCTCCCATCCAGTTTGGGTCCCTGTGCAGATGTTAGAGTGGAGAACATTAGCTTGTGTGAATAAGATGTATGGATGGCCTTAGGAAGCCACTCTTGTCAACCTCAGTGGCTGTGATTGGGCTAAAAGAATGCCCTCTTGGGC